CTTTTTGAGTGAAAATGGGTTTCTTTTATTACTTTTCATTAAAAAATTTTACTTTATTTTTTCTTCCTGTCAGCAGAAATTTTGCATTACACATGAAGGAGGAAAAAAATGCTTTAAATAACCAAATATGCAAATTTTATTCTATCCAGCAATCCACCATCAAACACACTGCTAATGACTTAAACAACTTTCTAAAAACACCTCGATATGCTGAGTAAAAGATAATAGAATTTTCAGCCAAAAGGCTGACTCATGCAGAACTGAAAACAGATTTTCATTCTAACCGTCAAGAACATGCCTTAGGAAAATCCAACTATCATCAAATGGCAAACACCTACAAAGCCCAACCATTCTCAATAAAAAATTAATGATTCACTCCATCAACTTCATAAGCTATACATAGCATAGCAAGTTAGCAACAAAACAAATTAGTAAAAAGACATACAACCTGAAGACATTTGAATGACAGAAATGATGCATTTTGCTGTTAAGACCTTTAAATGAAGAAAGAAAAAGAAAAAGAAAAAACTTTTTATGAAAAGAAGAAGGAAAAGAGAGGAAGAGAAAAATGAATTTTGTATCATTCAATCCTAAGACAATCGATGAAAAAGAGATAATGAAACACTTACCAGGCAATTAGTGTGGAAGGCGTCCAAATATGCGTCGTCCAAAGGCGAATGCACGACCCTACTGCTTGCATCCAAAAACCCATCAACAATGCTGTTCACACGTCCAATCTCTTGTATCAACTTTTCTTCATCTGCTTCTTCACCGGCATATGGATTGTCTGCTTCCTCAGAGTACTTAACATTGCTTCTGTCCACTACCATCCGTCTCTCTCCCCTCGTCCGTCCCCTCCTTCTTCCCCTTCCTCTTCCCATTCCCCTTCCCCAACCCCCTTCTGCTCTTTTCACCATCCCACCAGCATCCTCGCCATCACCTCCACGCGAAAGGATTCCCATTGCCTTCTTCACAGCTTCTTCCTGGCTTAACTTAGGCTGAGCTGGGGATGGGGATGGGTCTGCGGCAGGTGCAGACCTGGAAGGCTGCTGCCGGACCCCAAGATGACGGTTTTCTTCCTTGACTTACGCTGCAGGATCAGGTTGCTTCAAAGGTTTCCCTCGTCCAGCTCTGGGTAAAACTGAGAGTATGCCAGAAGGGAGATTAGTTTCACTCGACTTAGTGGGTTTCGGCTTCGCCGCTGATTCAATGGCGGAATCAAAACCATCGACATACTTTTTCGGGATGAAAGTAGGTTGCTTGGATTGCCCAAGTACTGACCACTCATCAGCAGCGGATGATTCGCCGGCGACCCGGCCACGACCAGACCCAAATTGAGACTGCCTGACAGGGGAAACAAAGGAATAAAAAGATGGAAGAACTGGATCAGACGGCCTACCACGGCCGTGACCAAGTCCAGCTTGGGTTGGCTGCAGCAAGCCTTGCCCCGAATCATCCGATTCGGGTCGAGCAAAATCAAACTGGGGGAGGAGCTGGGGGAAGGCCGCCACCTCAGCTGCGTCCACGGTCGGAAGTGGAGAAGGGGGATGATGATTGGAGTAGAAAAGGGGTTTGGGTCAGCGATCCATTGTAGTTATTGCTGGAAATTTGCAAGGATCTTCCTATGGTTCGTCTCATTTGGAATTGTTATGAAACCCAAATCGAAGCTGAAACTTGAAGCTAGGGCTTTGGGTTTTGCTGGAAGAAAGAAAGGAACGTACTTTTCCGCTGGGGATTTTCTACATCTTCCAGACACAACGGCGCCGTTTAACATAAACTAAATAAATAAAAATGATAATTTAAAAAAAAAAAATCCTCAGAAAGAATCTGCTCGGACCTTGTTCTGTAAAATCAACCGGAAATCTATGGCTAAAATTTAAGAAAGAAAAAAAGGGGAGAGGAGAAGGAAGGAAAGAAAAATAAAGAGGAGAAAAAGGTTGGTATTAATTTTGTTTGAATAAATTAAATTCAAGATGAAAAAAACAATAATATTTTTATTTAATTTAATAATTTAATAAAAAAATAAAAATAAAATTTTTAAAATTTATTAATTAAATAAATAATTAAAATAAAATATTTACATATATTTATTTTAAAATAAAAAAAATAAAAATATATTAAACAATATAATCTGCTCCCATCCATCCAAATGAAAGAAATCGAAAAGAGAGGAGGGGAGGAGCTCTGTCTCCCTCCTTCTGCCTCCCCTTCATTAAAATTATTTGGGTTAAAGCCATCGATCATCCCTCTACTTTGTAAAAAAGTTCAAGTTAACCCTCCTACCATGGAGTCACCTCAGGTCGTCCCTCTACTTCATTTTGAGCTCACATGTTCTCTCTCTACTATTCAAAAAGACATCAATTTCGTCCCTCCATCCATTCCGTGGCTGACACCGTCACTTTTTACCGATAAAGCCTAACGGTTTGCGGTTTAATATATATTTCTATATTATCCTTTTCTCCAATTTGGTTATAACAGGACCTACCAATGCCACATCATACTCCATATTAATATCTTTCTACATAAATATTTTATCAATTTTTTTTTCAATTATTAGCCACATTTATTTATCTCTTTTTATTAACTTTTTAGTTGTGTGAATGAAAGAGATATTTTTTTAAACTATGATAAGTAATTAACTAAATTTATTTTTTTTAAAGAAATAGATAGATTTTTTTTAATTTTATTAAGATTTAAAAAAATTATATCTATAAAAAGAAAATTTCTAAATGGTTATTATTATTCCTTTAATTGTAAACTTTGACTGATCTAAAGTAAATTCACAAGTTGTGATTTTATTTATGTAAATAAGTGGGCTAAGCAAGTACATGAGTTAAATATTTGCTTATATTTGTATTTAATTTAAAAATTAATAGGTATAAAATTTTAATACTCAATATTTATTTAGATATTAAAAGTTTATTCTTATTATTCAACCCATTGCATATAAGTATACTTAATTATATATATACGTATATATTTATTGAATATTTTAACCTATTAATACAAATTAAAACATAATTAAACTTATTGCAAAAACATATACTTTAGTTTATGCATAATATATAAATATAAACTTCATTGAATGTACTAATTTGATGTGAGAGGTGTGCCTTAAAATAACCCAAATAAATATTAGTCTTGAGATATAAGAGAGTTGGTTTGAAAATATCTTAACTATAAATATCAAAAAAATAATATGAATATAAAAAAATATGACTTTATATTTATAATAAAGTACATAATTAAGTTAGAATACAAACACAGAAGGTGGTAAAAGGTACTAATTAATGATGTAGTGCTTTATTTTATATATGTCAATTTTTATTTATTTATTTATTTATTTTAGGATACAAATATTTTTTGAATT